GTCAGGACCAAGTGCCTGTTCCAGAGGTTTCCATGGATTTCCATCCCAGGGCTGTGGCTTGGAGCACATGAACCCGTGACCAGGCCAGCTGCCTTCCTGAAGGGTCGTTTTCTCCCTCCTGCAATTATTTTTTATAGGAATAAGGGTTGATTCCTTCAGCTTTGTTGCTTCTTGTATCCCGAGGGAAGAAAGCTGGGAGGAGGTAATTAGAGGATGTGGAATGCAGCTGTCCTGAGCCTCTGTTCCTGATATAAAAGATGGAATTGTGAGGGATTTTTCTTCCCATGACTTGGATTTTCCATCAGCTTGGGTGAAGAACAGGCAGGGAGCAGGAGCAGAGAGCCAAAATCTGGGAATCCCTCGTTGGGATTCCAGCTGAAAGCACACATTTCCCAGGAGCCCTGTTCCCATCAGCTGATGGAGCAGTTTGATATTATTTTTTTTCTCTTGAATGTGTTCCATTTGTTTTGCAAAATGACCTGCAGGGAAAAAAAAAAAAAAAGCAGCTGGATCAAAGCTGTGTGAAGTGAAATGTTTAAAAAAAAATCAAGAAAAAACTGGAATATTTCAGTGCCTCGGGTTCAAATCCTCCCCCTCTGTGGTTGTTTTTCCCTCTGAGATGGGTGAGGATGATGAGGTGGGAGGAAGGCTGGGAGTGTTAGCCAGCATTTCCCCAGCTCTGTGTTCCTTGTGCTTCTCCCTGATCCTAGTTAGGAAAAGAACAAATCATTGGGAGAAACCCTCTTTGTTCCAGCTGATCCTGAGGCAGATGGAGCCAGGCATTGCCCATTCCATCCCCTTCCCTGCTTCACCTCACATTCCCAACGCAATCAGAGGAAGGGAAACCTTTTTTTCTTTAATCCACCAAAAAACCTATGGGAATAAACCCCCTTGGAGCCCCTTCCCTCATCCCAAAAGGATCAGCAACCCGAGCATGCCTGGCTGTGGGAACACAATGCCACAAACCCACCACCAACCCATGTTTTCCTGATTTTTTCCCCTCTTTTCCCAGCGATGCACGGCTGTTCCCAGGTCGTGGAGCTGCTCCTGGAACGGTAAGCAGGCTCCTTCCAGCTTTTCCAGCTTTTCCTGCCCCAGCTGCCATTTCCCTGCCAGGATCTGCACACAAAGGGTGCCTGTGCTGTTCCACTGCCCTGCTCTCCATCCCGAGGCTGGCTCCTCCTGCTCCAGGTTTTTCCCAGCTGGGAAAGGCACAAGGATTCCCTGGGCATGGGCTCCCTCTTGCTTGTGACACAAATCCCAGTTATGTAACTCAGCCCTGGCTTTGTTTTCCCTGCTGATTCATTCCCAGTGTGACAGCAAGCAGGGCAGCTTCTCTAGGCTGGGCTTATCCTTGTTTTCCTGGGGAATTGCTGGGAAATGGCTTTAAAGCAGCTCTGTTCCCTTTCTCTGTTCTCCCTTCCCAGAGCTGGAGCAGCTTTCCCTGGGAATCACAGCTCATCCCAGCCTGTCCATGCTTGGCTCAGCATGAGCAGCTCTGTGATCTTAAATTCAGTTTTCTCTCATTTCACTGCAGTTCAACCTCAATGAGATTGTATTTTGTACATCATTCCATGGCTATTCCCTGCTTCCAGTGCACTCATGGAAACCCTCTGGTCAGGAAAAAGGGAATTATAAACAATCTGTAGAGCCCAAATGAACTGAACCAGATCTCTGATCCTAAAAAACCCACAAATCATTCCCCAGACCCTAAAACACCAGGAAAAGTTTATCCATAGTCTGTGGATGAGCTTTATACATTCAATTTTCCATCCCAGCTGCTGGGAGTGTCCTTCCATGAGGGTTTTGGAGCTGCCCACAGCTCTGGGCTGGCTTTCTCTCCCGTCCCTTGCAGGTGCCAGTACAAAGGTGACAGCAGGGACAGCTGTGGGGTCACTCCCTTCATGGACGCTCTCCAGAACGGGCACGTTGGCATCGCCCGCCTGCTGCTGCAGAGACACCAGGTGGGTGCCAGAGCCCCTCAGTGCCTCCTGCAGGAGCTGAGCGGGGCTGCCAGGCCAGGTGGGCCACGCCTTCATCCTGACTGGAGCACAAATAAACAAATTCCCAATTTGTAAAGAGAGAAATTGTGTAAAAAGGCAAATTTCCCCCCCCCCCCGGACATGGGAAGGATTTGGCTGAGTGAGGCTGTCAGGAATCAGCTCCTGGGGCTGCCAGGGCAGGTGGGCCACGCCTTCATCCTGCCTGGAGCACAAATAAACCAATTCCCAATTTGTAAAGAGAGAAATTGTGTAAAAAGGCAAATTCCCCTCCCCTGGAGATGGGAAGGATTTGGCTGAGTGAGGCTGTCAGGAATCAGCTCCTGGGGCAGGAATCGTGGAAGGGTTTGGGTTATAAGGGTCTTAAAAATCATCTCATTCCACCCCTGCCACAGGCAGGGACACCTTCCATTATCCAGGGTGGCTTCAACCCAGCCTTGGGCATCTCCAGGGGCAGCCCCAGTGTTTGTGGTGAACGTGTGCCCAGAGCTGGTGCAGTGGGATGGTGACAGCAGGCAGTGGCAGGAGGGCACAGGACATTCCCAGCACTCCAAAAGCAGCTCTTGGAATGCCAGGCTTGGCATGGAGGCTCCAGTGGCCATGGATAATGTGGAATAATGTGGAATTGTCCATCCATGAGTTACCCAGAGCTCCTCCCTGGCAGCTCCTGCTCCTGTGCTGGCTCCCAAAAATCCCTGATTTCCTCCAGGGAATGCCATTAGAGCCAGCTGTGCACAGCAGGAACCAGACCACTGCAATCAATCATTTATTGATGATTGATTGATTGATTGATTGCTGGATGTTCCCAGCTGGTTGGGGCCCCCCCATGGCTGATTCTCCCAGAGGTGTTGGCCAGATCCTGGATTTCCTAAGGAAAAGGAAATGCTGTTTTCTGGACACGGAAGTTTGTTGTGGTTTTAACCCCACATTTCAAGCACTGAGGGTGGGACAGGTGGGAAAAAAGTGCTGATCTCACTTGGGCTGAGTGCACTGTGTGTGATTTCCGTGCTGTTCCCTCCTGCAGGCCTGTCCCACAGCTGTGGATGCCCTGGGAGCCCAGGCCCTGCACAGGGCAGCTGTCACAGCCCAGGATGGCTCCATCCGCTTCCTGGTGGCCGAGCTGGGCCTGGATGTCAACGGGAGAGCGACG